ATGCAGCAGGTGTAACTACTTCACAGGTGAGTTAATGATTTATAAATAAGTAAAAATGGAAAGACTTAATTTCATATTATTCACTTCTAGTAAATGTAAAGTGAATATTTGGGTGTCCTCTGAAAGTTTACAGAATTCCATCTGTCATTTAAACTAGTAAATACAAATAGTAAAATATAAGATAAACATTTGGGTGTGCTTCGAAGGTTAACTGAAAACTTTTTTTGCTTTTATGTTTTGTCAGGTGTAGACATACTTGGCAGAGATCCCCATCCCTAAGACAGCATGCCCGTTGGTGAACTGGAATTCCAACCAAACCTGCTTCCCTGCTCTGGCCCGTGTTGCATGCCAGTACCCAACTGCGCCCAGGACAAGTGTAGACAGCGAGCAACTGTTTAGTGCTGTTTACCATTTCACTGATGAGAAGAGGAATCGTATGCATTGCGACAATGCAGAGATTCTAATTTTCATCCAAAAAATCATCATCTCATACATTAGTACAACGGTAGAACTTAAAGGGGAAGAGCCCAAAGAAGGACTATCTTAATCCTCATTTTTTGCACTTCACAGGAAGGACTATTTAAGTTATTTTTTTCTAGTTAAAAGAACATTTCAAATTAAGCTGGTTTTTTTTAATGCCTTTTGAATATGCCTGTTCTTTTTTTTCCTACGAGGCAGAATTAGCCCATTTTACACTTCACAATAGCCCAGGTAATGGGCTAAAGACTGACTTTGCACATTTATGTTCCATTTGCTAACCTCTTTTTAAAGTGTTTTCCCTCTCATTTTTTGTAATCATTTTTGCTTACATTTAATTCTGCACAATATATCTTTACTGGAGAGGTACAATTTTTACTATTTGTGAAGAAAATACATTTATCTCTTGTTTGAATAGACGTCAGATTAAGCTCAGGAAAAGCACGTTCCAAAATGTTGTTGGCGACAGTGTTGAAAATATTTGTTAACATTTAGTACTTTCCTGAAGATGAAATTGTGTTCTTATGCTCTACAATGGTAATTATTTGTGGAATAATTACCATTCATCGCAGTGAAGGTGGTTAGGCTTAAATTTTGTGACTCGCATGATTTGATATTAGTATCTCTTTATATCGGAATCTTAACTTTGGTGTTTGGAATATCTGCATATCGAATATCGGCAAAAAGGCAATATCATAAATTCCTAGTCACCATTGCAGATGACCACTGATATGATATTGGCTGAATTTAGGTGTTCAGGCTTACGTATAACTAACTGGCCTGCATAAGATAACGAAAAAAAACACCCCATCGATTTTAAGACAGGATTTTTTTTTTTAAACAGAAATTTTCTAATTTTTGGGACAATATCGTCTGATACATTTATATACACGTTTATGCCTGAATGATTTGACATTTAAATAGGATTTTACTAGGACTTTAAGTAATAAGATCACCACCAGATAAAAAATGTAATTACTTTGCATCTTTAAGACAAAATTGACGTGATGGTTGGACAACTACTTTGTGGGATAGCAAGGGTGTTAATCATGCAGCAAATGCTCAATCGCACCCATGCTCATCTCGCCATGTGAAGTGAGGACCATGTGTCGACTCCACGGCTGCAACTAATGATTATTTTGCAAATCAATTAATCTGTTGATTATTTTTCCAATTAATAATCGGATAGCAAAAGGTTCCTTAAAGAAGACATTTTGCAAAATTAAACCAGGTGAAACTAAAACTTTTCCACTTGTGGAGTTCTGGACAGAGCATATTGACAGAAGAAAATGATTTTTTCTTAAATGCAATCTGCTTACATATTTTTTATTTACAATTTTGGTATAGTTGCTGCTCTAGGTTGGTCGCTCTTTCAGCTAAAGGCACATTTTAGAGTCGCTACACTCCAGTTAACTATTAATAGATAACTAAATTAGTTGACAATTATTTCAATAATTGATTCATATAATTGTTTCAACCCTGGTCGATTCCCTTTTCATTAATTTTCATCTCTAACTAGCAATAACTCTAAACCTAACCTTTACCAGTGTATACCTCACACTAAAGTCAATTCACACTTTAGCGCTAAACTTAGCCATTAACAAAAGAGGAAGTTAAGAGCAGCAATATGTCCTCATTTCGATACAAACGAAGCTTAGTTTGATGGCGAAATTGGTAAAATAGTTCTAACTCTTATACCAGGACAGGAGCACACACACACACTCACACACACACACAAAAGATAGGCTGAAGCTCGGTGAGCCAATGACCTTTACTTGCAGCTTAGGTGTACAGTGTCAACAAAAGAAACAAACCCTGCATTCTAACAACACGCTTTGGACATCAAAACAACAAATGTAAGGGGAACTTTATGCAAACACAGAAATGACTTTTTGAATCTAATGGCCTACATAATGAACTAAAAAAATAACACCAAAAAATGTGTGGTTAATAACTACAGCAGCCTCTCTTGAGCCTGAGAATATTGTGGGTTTTTTTTTTGGAGGGGTGTTACTTTTTTGAAGAGATAAAGGCAAATTTAAATAATTTATGAAGGCTAGAAGAAGGCTTGATATGACTTTTTTTAGCAAAAGATAGCTTTACAATTGCCTTTTTATTGGACCCTTTATGACTAAAACACAGTTTGATGAGGAGACCGACACCTCAGTTGTTCAGTGAAGATGCATCTAAAAGCCTGAGGCCTATTTTCACGTATGTACTACAAGTCGGATGTTTCGGATCCCCCACTGTTTCTACGATGTAACTAGGGCTGAAAAAATTAATTGGATTAACCGTGATTGATCGATTATTGGAATAATTGTCAACAAAATTAGTTATCGATTAATCGTTAAATGGAGTAGAGACTGTAAAACCTACCTTTAGCTGGCATTAATATCAAAATTGTAAAAATATATAAATATTTTGTTCTGTTCTGTCTGTCATTACACTCTATCCAGAACTCCTCAAGTTGTAGTTTCACCTGGTTTAATTTAGTAAAAAGTCTTCTCTAAGAGACCTTTGATTATCTGATTATCAATCGAAAAAATAACTGACAGATTAATCGATTTACAAAATAATCTTTAGTTGCAGCCCTAGATGTAACGTTTACTATGTTCGTGTTAAATGGGGCCAATCTAGCAAACAATGGAAGGGCTATATTCAAGGTAGAATTTGTGGATATTCAGAAGCAATTAATGGATTTTAAGCTTGAAGTTTAAATCCTGTGGTCCAATAGAAAATGCTGTGGCTGCTTCTAATATCCAGATGTTATGGTCAATGTCTTATCTAAACCCAGATGTATACTGGGGACAACCTCTGCCCATTAGTCGGTTGAGGAGTTAAGGGCAGATTAGACTTCTGCAACCGCACACATCAAATGTGGCTTGGGTCTGGTCGCGAAACAGTTTTGCTGGTATGCTTCTGCACCATCCGTCTGGATTTTCTAGGGATGCACAGCAGTTTCCCGCCAAAGTGCAAGAAAGAGCCTTTTCGAGAACTAAGGAGAACTGCGGCGGCACCGGCGGGAGTGTTTATCTTCCAAAACAACAATGGTGCGTCTTCAAGATATCACGGTCACGGAGATGGATCTAGAGTTGCTAGACATCGAAGAGGAACAGGCTCTGTTAATGGAGTTGGCAAAAAGACCAAATAACCTTTCGACATAGTTATCCATTGTAGTTGTTCCTCGGTTTTTAAAAATGGCACACCCCGTCACCGAATAAAGAAGGACGACCACACAGACAGCCGGAAAGGCATACCAAGGTCCAATCACAGCTGCTTTTTGTCTGCGCACTTCCGCTTGAGGCCCGCGCGGGTTTGCGACCGTCCGAAACGTAGTCAGGATTTTTTTGAGGTGAACGACGACAGTTGCAGATCCTCACCGCGGGGGGCGTGGTCGCGTGGTCGCACAGAGACAGATTTGACGGTTGCAGAGGCCACGCATCAGAAGCATTACACATTTACACTGACTTCCTAAAGGTAATTTATTCTCGGACAGTCACGCCGAAGTCCCCGTGAGTTCTCTTGCGTATTGGCGGGAAACTGCTGTGGGTCCTTAGAAATTCCAGACTGATGGTGCAGAATCATACCAGCAAAACTGGTTCACAAACAGACCCAAGCGACATTTGATGTGTGCGGTTGCAGAAGTCTAATCTGCCCTTTAAGCAACTATATCAAATGATTAATTATTATCCCGGTCTATAATAAGGTGATATTTAAAGGCCAAAAGGCCATAGGTCAATCCTAAAAAAAATGTTATTTCCATCCAGTTTCAGTTTTTTTCTATTTCAGGAGGGGGTTTAAAGCGAATTGTTCATGGGGAGTTTGTTTGGTTATGTAACAATTATAGTAATGTACCAAAGGATTATTCAAAAAATACATAAATAAACAACAGTCTTTATGTATATTAAAATATAGCTTAAATTTAGATATATGTTTTAAAATCTTGGAAATGGTGATCTTTAACCTTTAATGTAAAAAAAAAGAAATATCAGTGCAGGAATTAACTTTCAAATGTGATCGAACATAAATCTTTTTGTTTACATTCAACGTGGAGTTCCAGTCATGGCAGTAACACACAGCCCCCCCTCCCCTACATTCATGACTTTTTACTATCGGCTTTCAACAGCTTTTACATCTTAAAAAAGAAAGTCACCGATAACCTAAAAGGTACCTTTCATGCCTGCAGTGTTAGGTTACAGAGTGACTGAGTGGCATCTCATCCCATAATCTGTTGCAGTTTTGCATCCCAGCTATCCTCAAACTTCTCAGCAATGGTAGAATGTTTGCCGAGTTAGCCACATAGCTCACCGCTTCAAACCAGCTCAACTATCGGTTTAACTTACCGGAATGGGAGCATACAGGCAGCTATTAGGAAAACACGGCAACTCAAAGGCAGGTGGACGTGTTTCATAGACCCCAGTGTGGCTTAATAACCGCCACGGAATGCCAACAAGCTAACTAACTTCCACTCACAGCGACTGTTAGCAGCAGGCTAGCAAGCTTAGCTAAAAGAGAGAACCTACCGTCTGTTGCCAGTGACACTTGTTTAGCAGACCGTAAGAAAGTCCAGACGCTCCGCGTTTTAAGGGCAGTGAATCTGATTTATCAGCCGCCGAGCTCTGCCCTGGATTCCTCCTTCACTGAGACGCTTCTCTTTCTCGTTCTTCGGTCCCACCCAGCCGATCAACAGCTCTATAAACTCGCTCTGTTGTTCGCTGTTCTCGTTCTAGCTGTGAACATTCAAATCGCATCGCGAGAGTTTCTTCCATCAAGCAGCCGACAGAGTCTGCATGCGAATCTTCGGAATTACCGTAATACACAGGGGTAACTTTCTGAAGGACTGCTGGGGACAGTCCCCACCACTGATTTCAATAGATAGACTTTGGCTTTTAACAATATGTGGGACAAGTTTCTACATTTTTGTTGCTTTTGAAGGAGGATAATCACTGATGTAGTTGAAAGGGAAAACATCCATCAATCCATCCACATTTTTCTGGATGATTTGATGGATGGATGAATAAAGGGAAATTGTGTACATACTAGAGAGGATTGATGTATTGTTGCCATCGGAATCAGCTGTTATTCATAATTTCTTTATATATATTAATGTCTACAAACCCATTAATATAAATATTATTGTATTTTGGTTATTTTGTGTTCTCAACTATAGGAAAGCATTAAATAAATATATGTTTGAGCTTCATTTTGGAAAATACAAACCCTATTGAAAGCGTTTGTGTCGGGTACAGTCCATCAGCCACCATCCTTAGAGCATCCTCACCAACTTTAATCACAAAGTTCACCCTTGGATCAATAGTTAACAAAGCAAACTAAGAGAATACAATTTAAGGCTTTAGAGGTTCCAGTTATTCTTTTATTTCACTTTTAATGTAGCTTGTAGTTGAATGTTGGTGTTTTGATGATTTGATTTTTTTTTTTAAAGAAATACACCAGATGACTTATTTACATTTCAGGTTTTCCTTTTTCACTCTTTAATTTCCATAATGTCAGTCATAATTTTGGAACAAGCCTGGAGAGAAGGAGCCATGAAACACTTCTATGAAAAAATAAAATTAAATAAAAAAAAGGAAATCTAATTTGTTTGGATTAGTTACTGTCTCCATAAAATGTTTTCCCAACTCATTCACAAGCAACACAAATTATTCAATTAGCTTTGAAAATTTACTCTATCACAAAAACTTGAAAAATATAAATGTTTAGTTACAATTGTTCACATTGAGTATACAGTCTGTCTTAGAAACCCACCCAGGGCCCAAAACAGTCAAAAAATGTTCTCATGAAACTGAATTTATTTCAATCCTTCTTTTAAAAGGGACTTTTTCCCTCCTCACTGTCGCTACAAGCATTCTTAGTATGACGGATTGCCTTTGAGTCAACCTAGGTTCTCCAACAAGTTCCACTCTGGAGTAGATGCGTTACTCGCACTCACACACTCACACACACACACACCCACACACACAAGAACCCTTACAACAGGGATGTCAAATGTCCTGTTAAATCCAAAACTTTTGGATTTAACAGGATGTAGCACAACATCCAATTTATATCTGGAAATAAAAAATAAAATCAATCTGATTGTTAAGCCATATGAAAATTCATACATGTTGAACTGGTTTGTAACAGTGATTTGGACTGAATCCCAAACCTCCCCCTAACACTAAACCTTAACTATCAAGTGTCACTACCAATGAAATCACACCCACAGCTAAGAAGGCACCTTAATTGAAGGAGGGGGGGCATAAATGAGAATGGGATGACTTCCTCCCTCAAACGGAAAGCAAAAGTAGTCATTGACATGACTGCCCCATGAGCATGGCTGTAGTATCATGGGGCAAGTTGACACGAAAGCAAACATTTGCCCCTTTCTTTAAAAAAATGTATACGGTCAAATAAAACTGCTTCAAAGAGGATCTTCGCTTTCGGGATCAATTATGTCTATTTTTCTTTTTCTTAACTTGTATTTTTCTGTCAGTGGGACCAAGATGTATGAAAACAGGTGGAACATACATTTGAATGAGTTTGCTGTTGCAACCACTGGCAAATTTCAGTGAGCCTGCACTATTGCATACACTAAGGGCCTAATGCACCACTTGATCTATCCAGTACGTGGTTTGGGACAGCCCTTAAGCTTGGTTTATGCTTGACACATCTACGAGATCTTCACAGCAAAATTATGTAATTTTGGGCTCCATGCAGACAGAAATCCATGCAGAATTTCCGTGCTGATCAACTCGAAAACAACAAACTCATGTACGATGGTGTAGAGGAAATTGTGGGCAAACTTGTACCTGAAGCCTCAAGGAAGGTATTTGATCTAACTGCACAGACATGGACGTATTTTTTTTTTTGGGAGGGGGGGTTATGTCCCCTGCACTTTTCAAACGTCTGTTATAGTCCCCTGCTCAACAATATTACAGTACAGTACACAGACAATTGTCTAACACTAGGACCAAGTGGAAAACCGAAGCTTAAGCTGAAGCCCACTTCCCTGAGGTTAGACCAGGGGTGTGTGAAAAAATCGTTTTGGCATAGACTGCAGGACCCACTGAGACCCTGATGGAATAAGTGGGAGAAGATGGATGGATGGTTATTTTAACTCCATTTCAATGTGACTTATACTGAGGTTTTACAGCCCCTTTGCAACAACTAATTCAACAGTTCCATCATGTGGCCATATTAAACACTACAGGACGCTTAAAATCTAGCCAGAAAATCTGTCTGTCCACTGTACAACATTAATAGTTGGAAATGTCTAATTCTCAACCTAACCATAAAAAATCAGAGAATTCGATGCAGATACTGATTCCCCTGTTCAATACAGGAGGGGGGGGGCACTATATGATGAGATTTGACTGATAGAAGGGTTTCCCTGTTCAATAAAGGTGAAACTGCATTCGATCATGCCTTTAAGACCATCAGATGCTGTTGACGGGGCTAATAGGACCATCAGTTAAGGTTGCCACTGTAACCTCAAAATGGAATTATTATAGTTATTTCATTAACAAGAAATTATAAATGTTCTCTATAGCTTTTAGTACAGGGGAACAGCAGATATCATTTTTCCTTTGTTTAATACAGGGATTATGAAGATTCAGGGGGAAGCAGTATCTGATGGGAACAAGTGATCCAGGTACGCTAATGGAAAAAATTAAGAGAACCAGCAGATGCCACCATTCAAAGCTTTTTAATGTTTCAAGCTTGGTTTAGACTTTTGGCCAGTTGTGTCAAATTGGTTTATTGGTTTATGGGGCTTCAAAATTGCCATCACTAACTGATTCTTCTTGACATCCAACTAGAGAAAATCAGTAAACATTAATCATCCAGTGCTGATTGACGATTCTGCTGCTCTTTAAAGCCCAACAGTCTGATGAGACTGATGAGTTCCACCTGTGTAGACTACCCAGGTTCTCCAACAAGATCCACTCTGGAGGAGATGCGTTACTCACACACACACACACACACACACACACACACACACACACCCACACACACACACACACAGGAACCCTTACAACAGGGATGTCAAACTGGTTCCAGAAAGGGCCGTGTGGCTACAGGTTTTCCTTCCAACCAATCAATAGCACACCAGTCATCTCATTAAGTGAGTCCAATCTGAACATGATGACCTACCCCATTTATCGAAGATACTCTTGATTTTGTTGAGCAATTTTCCTATATTGTCAGCCATAATATCATCACTATTCGGTTTCAGTTCAGTTCCAAGATATTTCATTCCTTTATCTAGCGATCTAAATTTGGAACCAGTTAATAAAGTATGAGTGCATGCTTGTGAGACTGGAATGCTCAGACTTATGCAAATTATTTATTTTTACCCAGAGAATGAACAGTTCTCAATAATTTGAGGTAAAGTAATGTGCTCAGAACGTTGGACCCAATATTGAAGGGCAAGACAGACAGTGGGAAGATTCAAAATGCTTATTAAAAACTGAACAGAATGCAGAGCTGCGGGGGGAGGCGAGGTACCACCTCCACACCTAAGAGCGCGGTACAATCCGACTAGAGCAGAGGTCTTTAACAGGTGGTCCGTGATCCCTAGGAGGTCCACTAATTGAAATGTCTTTAAATAGACATTAACATGAATTCAACACACTGTAGTAAACAGATAAATGGAGGCAGAAGATGTCTTTCACTCATCAATGCACACATTCAGCAACACGCAGGAGCTCTTTCAAGCTGGGCACCGTTTCATTCACAACACCTGTCCCATCAACCAGGAATCATAATCAGAAATACTTTAATAGTCCCAGGTTGAAATTACTTTTGTTACAATACTCCATCTGTATTAGACTGACTATAGGACCAGTATGATATAACACAATTTCATACAATATATATATTTAGGGGGTCCCCGCTCCATCTCGCCATCAGTTTGGAGGTCCTTGGCCTAAAGGGCTGCCAATAGATGCAGCAGGAGCCGCCCAGGGTGAACCAGATGCTGCAGCCCCAGTGAATAGGCAAGAGTCAGAACCAGGTCAGGCAAACAGGCTCAGAGATCCAGGAGTCCGTAAACTGGTAAGGGGTTTCAGATCAGAACAGGAACAGGCACCTCCAGGGTTCCAGGAATCCACAGACAGGTTCAAGGTTCCAAGAGTCCAACAGAGTTCAGGTGGAAACAGGCAAGCTCAGTAGTAGAGAGGTAGAACAAAGCAGGATATTTGGAAAATTACGGAACTTTAAAACGTCACATGACCATAAAACTCTACAAAACTTTTGTACTTTAAAAACTCCCTTTTGAATTGATAACAAATAAGATCTCCATTCCGTCTCCAGTATTTGGGAATGTGAGGGATTTGCACAAACCAGCCAGAAAACTGCTAACATTTTTCAAAAAAAAAAGAAAAAAAAAAGTCTTAATTAATTCCAAAAAAAGTGGTCAAAAAATGATAAACTGGGCCCAAAAACAGAGGTCAACAAAAAAAGACTTCAATTCAGGTACTAACATAAAGAATTCAAGCACAAACTGACCTCGACAAACAAGACATGAGGGAAACTTAAATAGTGGCTGATCACACTACTGTTGACACACAAGGGGGATAACTAACAAACAAACTAACAAACAAATTAACTTAATTAAACAGATAAATACTGGC